CAAGGAGAAAGGTAGCTCTGAATTTTTCAGAGTCAGTCCTGCTCCTGGCGGCTCCCTGTGCAAGTCTCTGCAGTGTTCTTGGCAACATTTTGAGATGTGGTTTGCCTTTGCCTCCTTCTTCCTGGGGCTGAGAGAGAGGGACTGGCCCAAGGTCACCCGGCCATCTTCAAATAATATAATCCTATTTTCTAATCCCTCTTCCAGGTCATTTATACCTATGTTCAGCATCCTTGTTGGCCTCTGAGCCTTTCTCGTTTCGCTTGTGCAGAGACCAGCAGACTTGGAAGATATGGCCATGCACTCCACAGAGGGGAGCGGGTGTTGCTGGATCGGGACCCAGCAGCCTCCTGCCGGGGCTCCGTTCTGGAGGATTTGGAAATCGTGGCCGGGCTGAGCTCTGAATTGGAGGGCCAGAGGGGAGGTCGTGATGCTTCTTCGGGGAAAGGAGGAAAATTCCACCCCGGGCGGATCTACCTTGGACCATAAAACCCTCTTTCACAATGACTACAGCATAAAGCCTCCCTTGAATATTTAATTATTTAACCAGAGATGATCTTCCACTCATCTTTTTCTTCTTTTGTCCACCTTTCTATCTTTTGTCCAAAGAGATGCTAAAATTCCTGGTGTGAACAGTTTTATCTACCAGGAAGTGGGTGGTTTTTCATTAATTCCATTCTTTTGTTACTTATTCTACATAAATATGCGGATCACTGTTAGAAAATTTATGTCAAGGTATGGCTGAATTAAAGGTGACCTCTTTTCATGTTAGCAAGTGGGAAAATCCAGCCAAAGGAAGAATAACGTAAAGACTGAAGAAGAATGTTCCATATATCAAACACTGGCAAGATTTTTAAAATTACACATTTTAAAAAAATTTCTTAGAATTTCTGAACATCTGAGCTGTTTAACCTTGCTTTGACTTTGCTTTTCCCCACCTCCTTCTTGGGGAGGTTTGGGGGGTGCCTCCTGACCTTTGTATGCATCTGAACTCATCACACCAAAAGGGAAGAGCAAGGTGGGGGGAATAGACTCGGGTTCACAGTCTCTCAGGCAGGCCCCCGTAAGTGGCTGTCTTCATGCAGGGTGGGGGGTATCAGGGTCCTGCCCTCAAACCAGAGGGGGCCAGAGGAGGGAGCTTTCAAACCCTTCCCAGCAGAAGAGTGAGGGGAGCAGATGCAGGGCTGATCATTATTTGTAATATTAGCAGCCTGTTTGGACCGCAGTGAGATTGCAGGCTCTGATTTGGGCTACCAGTGGAGGATCTCAGGTCTGAATTCGACCTGTTTCTGCTTTCAGGGAGGCCACGAATAAAGAATCCTCAAGGTCAGCCTTCTCCACCCTGGTATCCTCCCAGCATGTCAGACTACAACTCCCAGGGCTCCCAGACCCACATGGGACTTCCTAGAGTTTTAGCCCAACACAGGGAAGGCTGTGGCTGTGGACTCAATGGATCCTCCGCATCCAGAGATAGTCTACCTCTGAACCCAGTTTGCTTGGGAACAACAATAGGAGATTGCTTTTCTTCTCGTGTCCTC